CGCATGCTGGAGCCTCCATCTTCGGGGCATGCGCTTTGATCCAGAAAATGGAGGCGATATATTGCTCCGAAACGCCGCAATAAGCCTTGAGTAGCAGTTCAGATCCAACAATATTTTACATCCGTTTTCGTATGTTACACATTTCCCGCCCACCGACTTCGCAGAAGCCCCTTCTGACCCCATATATAGCCCCTTTTCGTTTGTAACGTCATGGGGACGGGGTTCCCTCCATGCACAACGTTTTAAAATATTTTCCAGTGTGATATGTGCCGTGCCTTTCCACATTTTGCTTACGTTTAAGCTAATTGTAAGGCTAATTGTTCAGGTCGTCTTAGGCTATTTATGATAAAATAATACTTTTTTAAATGCTTCTAACTTTTGAGGTTAGTATTTGGTAGGATTTCCTTTTGTTCAGTTTAGATTATTGTTTTTAATTCCGGTAGGCTAGCTCAGATCCCTGGCTGCCCTGCCCTTGCCGGCGCCAGTGCCTTAAATCCAGATTTATTTTGATGCCAACACCGCCATCACTAAGTCGATGCTTAACGCAGCTGCATAAGAAGCTTGTCCTCTTGCATAATTCAAAAGATCTACTTTTAGCGAGTTTGGTATGTTCATTTTTAAGCTGCTTTCTTTTGTTGCAATTTTTCATATGTTTTCAGCGAAAAGTTGCCAAAAATGCGCACATTAGCAGAGCTCGAGAACCGCCGAAGTGATTTGTATGAAGTTAGAAATTCTTTGGTGACGCGTTCCAGTTTCGGCTAGAATCGGACACTTCACGTTCCTGCGCCCATGTCGACCACAACTCTGCTTGCGTCCGTTGCGCAGGTCTGTAAATTATGGCGTTCCACCCGAAATTCTGTTTGGGGGGCGCCAGGTGCTGGATGAGGTGGATGGATCGTTGCTTTTTTAGCGACTGTGTGTAACATCACGTTCGATGAACTTAAAGGTTCCAGGAGGAAGCGATTCTGACATATTTGACGATATAATTACGGCATTCGCTTGGAGGTACTGGGACAGTGGTCAGCTTTGTCAGGATAGTCCGCGGCGCCACTCGGCTTCCTTCCGAATGTGAAGTCCTAAGCGTTTCAAGCTGAGCCGGCCCACATACTGAGGAACGTTTCGTTTCATTCTTCTGCTCAGCCTGTCTCTCCATCTCTTGTTCTTCGCTGTACAGGTTTTCCCTTTGGGAACCCGTGGACCGGACATCATGCTGACACTGCGGTTCTCGTTTGCATAAGAAATTGAAACCGTGACAGCGGTTCCGCAACCCGTTTACAGTTACCGAAGTCATGCTGTGAGACCGGCAGGCCGGCCGGGGCAGGGCGTGTCGCCCCAAGAGCACGCGGAATGTGCAGATCCCTGAGGCAATTAGGGACGAAATATGGAGAATGTTTTCTGTGTTTCGTCTTTCCGCCTGGCGCCAAAAAACACAGCTGATTTGTTCACTTTCATTAAATTACGCGAGTAAGACCTCCAGACCCCCGCGCAGTACGTAATTAGATAATTTCCATTGCTCAGGTGCACAGTGTGAGGTCGGTACGGAGCATGGATTGAAGGCGCTGTTCAGCTCCACGCACTGAATACATTGGGGATGGAAAGATGTTTATGAATGGCGAGTCCCACTAGTAAGGACCTTCTCAGTTAACAAGCTGAATCCTCGTTTCCGCCCGAAGCGCAGTGTGGCAGATGGCCCGATTTTGAAGTACCAGTAGTTACGGCACATACGCAGCGAAAGAAATGAACCAGTCATTCATTTGTGGGATTTGAGGTTCTCACAGCGGTGGTAAGAATATATCTTGTCATATGGTATATAACGCCGTGTCTTCCGTCTTCAGGGTTTAAGAATGAGCCAAGCAAATATCCAGTCGTTTGTCTGCCTCCGTATGTAACTGCTGGAGAACCACTTAGTGGACCTTCTTGGGGTTCGATGCGGGCTAGTTTTACTGAAATTTGTTGACATTCCGGTTTTTAGTTGAAACCTGACTACGATAATGAACACATGCAACTCGCTGAATGCTTATCGGAGCGAAAAATGTTGAGGTAGAAGTTGCAGGGAAGAACAAAGAGCACTTTTATCCCCGGCTCTTTGAGTTCTGGAGAGAACTACGCGAATATGAGTGAATAGCCTATGTATGCATCTTGTAACTTGTTTTAAGTTGGTTATTTAACGATGCTGCCAGTGTCAAGACTGTATAGCGGTCAGATTGATGAATGTGGAGCAGTTGGAATGAGAATTGGCAGGCGAAACCGAAGTACTTTGAGAAAGCCTGCTGCAGTACCAATTTGACAGCCACAAATCTCGAATGAGCAGACTTGGGACCGATCCCAGGTCCCACAGTGGGAAGCCTGCGACTAACCGCCTCAGCTGTGGTACAGTCCCTCTAAACTTGGTGGTTCTGTCAAAACACGCGATGCCTTATGCAGATCCAGTGAGAACAGGAAATTTGGTCTGAGGGTGCGATGCAAGGAAGGAAAGCCAGCAAAAGTCAGAGCATGGAACCTGGAGGTCGCGGGTTCGAGTTGACCGGCGTGTGTCGTGATGTATACCGAATGTTTTCTGTCGGATCGCGTTGGTTTGAAGAAGGGCCGGCAACAGCGGAGGGACTTTTTTGTGTGCCTAAGACAGTGCTTCCAACTGTCAAGTTGGGATGCGCCTTCAGTGGGCACGAGTTCCGGCTCCTTCAGGAACGACCCGGAGTCGTCCAGTCAAGGAGGACGAGATGAGAGGGCATGTAGCACGCATGGATGGGGTCCAGTGGCGGCCTCCTGTGAACATGTTAATGGAATTTGTGGATGAGCTGGGTGACCGAAGTGGAACAGGTTGTGGCACGGGAATATCATAATCAGCTGGCGTGTGCAATTGGCCATCTCTGCCGACGCAAATGTGTTCTGTGAACCTGACATCAATGTCGCAGCCTCCGGTGCTGGTTCGACAGGCCAACTACCGGGTCGCAGCGGAGGGGTGCACAGAATGGCGGTTGCAAGCCGTCTTGCTGATTTGTGGCCCAGCAGGAGGGAGAGAAAGAATTAACTTGTTATTGCGTACTTCCCTGCTACTGCTCTAATGTTAAAGCTTTAAAACCCAGTGGTCACTATATGTACCACCTGTTTTAGCACACTAAAACTCTGCATTCTGCCCACAGAGTGTATCTGTGTGTTCTGTCTGGTTCTCAGAGTAAACAGCGGCTGTTTCCCTACACAGCAGTAACCGGTTGGACTTTGTAGCGGAGACGTAATGTGTTTCCCTGTGAGGTACGGACTGAATCTTTATACTATATACTGCATTCTGCCCACAGAGTGTATCTGTGTGTTGCATACGGTTCTCACAGTAAACAGCTGCTGTTTCCCTAAACAGCAGTAACCGGTTGGGCTTTGTAGTGGAGAAATGGCGTGTCCATTAAAAGGAAGAGTCTCTTGTTTCTGTTTATGGAATTCATTCCTTATTGTGAGAATCCTATAAAGCATATAAATGTGGCAAGTGGACAAAACACAAATGCGGTAGTTAGTTACAGGTACAGTTGTTGTTCCTGTCTTTAAAATGTAAAAATCACTAATTTTACTTGAACAGTACCAGATTCAGGAGACAGTTCTATGACATAGACCCTGAGGATGGTGGTCACTTAGCAGATGACACATTGAAGCACCGAAGGCCACATCAGACATACGCAGCAAATACCGGACAAGAATTGTGTGTTTATCATAACATGGAATGTTTTGAGGTGGGGACCAGTTTGGGAAGTTTCATGATTTTGGAAACGTGCGTGTGAATCTTCATTGTTGCGCTGCAGGCGGCGAGGTATGAGGCTGGGCTGTTATGGGAACCTGGATTTCGTAGCGTTGTCTCATGAGGGTGTACTATCTGCTGGAAACTTGCTAGTCATGGGGGGGGNAGCACAAAGTGCCCATTAGCGGGATGCCGCCAAATTAGAGATGTCAGGATGTACTCTTGCCCAGTCACTTTAGGTGCATGCCTAATTGTGGGGGTTTACGTAGGGTTCCGCCTTTGATTGCTCATAGCCACAGTTGCTTTTTCAACCTGTGTCCATCATTCCTTTTACATGTCCAGATCATCTGTCTTGTACATATAGGATTAAAGCAAGGCGTTTTGAACTTGCTTCCATTTTGCGACAAATTTTAGATGAGCAGACATAGATATTTGGCTCGTGGAGCATTCAGTCCTATGATTTTGCAAGGTTTTATGTTCTCAAGGTGGTGGATATGTGAAGACGGTTGTTTGTTGGTATGTGACAGTTCTGTCCCTCTCGTTAAATTTGCCACCATCTCGTACATCGTCGATCTTGGCCCCCTTCCCCTATATAAGGACGATCTCTTCCTGTGCCCACTTACTCTTCTGCCCTGGCAACAGAAGCAGCACTTTTCTCGACTTTTTGGCAACGACTATCCAGACTACACGCTGTCACATTAGTGAAGGCCATCTGCACACGAGTCTAGCATGCTGTTGGATTATAAGTTGCGTTACCAGCATATGATGATGTTACAGGTATGGAGTGACTATAGACGGGACTTATTAAACTTTTTCAGATCCGTGAATACAAGTAATTGTAACCGTTTCACTAATTCACACACTTTACAGTTCACTACAGCATGCACTATCTTCTCAGATGACTGTATCTTCACCAGTCTTCCCAGCGATGTATGTCCCCTTCCTATGGGTTCCCCAACTGTCCCCATGCCTCAGCTACCAGCTTCTAACAACACCTGAACCCCACCAGTCCTCTCACTCACTAAGCAACCAACTAGGCTTCACTTCACTGACTGACTGACTGAACTCACTCCTCACTAAGTGCCGTGCTTATAACATCTCTGCACGGACCACACAGAGAACACCGTTCTTCTGTTGCTGTTTTGCGGGCCGTTGTCTTGTTGTTTGTCTCGTGGTCTACACGCCACATTATTAATCATAAGATTTCTAGGACTGGAAGTCTGTAGTAAGACGTTGGCTTTATGAGTCTGGTGTGTATGTGTGTGTCTGGTTGCAGCTGCACAGCAATGCATGTGGGGGAGTACTGCCAGTACATGAACCCCTGCCACACAGGACCTGGTCCCCGATGTCAGAATGGAGGTTCCTGCAATGTGCGGTCATCACCCACATCCAGCCCCACCTTCGGCTGCATCTGCCCGATCGGCTACTCGGCCTCCCTGTGCGAGATCCCGGTGGCTAACTCGTGCGACTCAGACCCCTGTCTCAATGGGGGTACATGCACCCTGAGGAGTTTGGACAGCTATTCCTGTACTTGTGCGCCTGGCTACACGGGACAGCACTGTGAGCTGCAGGACCACTGTGCCTCCATGCCCTGCCGTAATGGGGCCGAGTGTGAGTCCCTGGGGGACACATACAAGTGCACATGTGCGCCAGGGTTTGTGGGACCCTCTTGCTCAGAGGATATCGTAGAGTGCAAGGAGGACCCCTGTGAGCATGGCAGCTGCTTCAACACCCACGGATCCTACAAGTGAGTTGTCAGTCAGATGATTACAGCTCAGCAAGTATTTAATGATTCCTCACACAAGTGCTCAGCACTGTCCGCCTTGATGTACTGTTCCACTGCATGCAACAGTGCTGCTTCCTTTCTTCCAAGCTGGTGCTTTAAATCACAGTTCCCCTCTAGTGATTAATAAACAGTTAAGGGTGTGGATGGTAGCATTCATGTCCTGATATGAAATACTGTGCAAGCATTTGCCTGAATGGACTGAGGGAAAACATGAAACAATTTTATTTATGGTACTCGCTGCTTGTGTCAAAATTGAAAAAATATACTTTCTGAATTTGATGGCAGGAGAGGGTCCTGTTGGGCCTTATGCATAATTGTTAATTAGAATATTTCAAATTTTAAACAGTAGAAATAATTAACTCCAGAAGGAAAGAGACCACAGGGAAGACCAAGGCATAGGTGGGTGGACAATATTAGAATGGATCTTAGAGAGATAGGATGGGATGGTATGGATTGGATAAATGTGGCTCAGGATAGGGACCAGTGGAGGGCTCTTGTGAACACAGTGATGAACCTTCGGGTTCCATAAAATGCTGGGAAATTCTTGAGTATCTGCAGAATTGGCGGCTCCTCAAGAAGGGCTTAGCTCCGTGAGTAAGTAAGCAAGAAATAATTAACTGGTTAGTCATCACTATTTCATGCAATTATAAAATATTGAATTGAAATTAAAAACCTGCCTCGCATCTGTCTGATGATGCTGGCTCAGGCCACAAGATTATTTAATCTTGTGAAGTGTTGTGAAAAAGGGCACATGCCCGACCTCCCAATACATAACTGCCAACTAAGTAAGGGACAAACAGATAACCAATGACATCCGTTTTTTTTTTATAAACGCATTCGACGCTATTAAGAGCGCAGGATGAATTATCTGCATAATGTCTGCTGTTATGTTATAAACAGAGGTTTCATACAGTGTGTTATTCCATTATATATTAATTTATCTTGTTAATTGAGCTTAGGTGTGCTAGACATGTGTGCGAGTGCAGTTCAGGATGTGTGGATGTGTATTGTACGTATATGTCTTTCTAACACGGAACATTGGAATAACGTGGCTCAGCTAAATTACTGTCAGCTCCACTTTGAAGTGGAGTACACCTCGAAGTTTATACCAGCCAAGTAGAACCTGTTGATGAATGCACTGGTGTACTTCTGTTTCTGTGTGCAGATGTATGTGCCATCCTGGCTTCACAGGGCAGAACTGTGAGAACAAGTACATCCCATGCAGTCCCTCACCCTGTCTCAATGATGGGGAGTGCCTGGAAGTGGATGCCCTGAGCTACAAGTGTCAGTGCCCCACAGGTGAGTGTGTGCAATCACCAGCATTTCCATGACCGCAGTGATTGTGAATATGCTGAGAAGAGACAGTACCTCGGTAGGTCCCCAGTATGCTGCCACATTGACATGTCTGATGAATGGCTGCCCCCCCCCCTTTCTGTATACCATCTTGTCTGTTGATTTTCTTTGTATAAAGTGTTTATGTGAACAAATGGTACAGGGGACCTATCCATCCGCCCATGTGTCTCATTTCTGAGACTACCATGTACTGATCACATTTTGATCAAATTTATCAACAGTAAACACTTCCCACCAAATCTAGTTTTGATTCATATTGGACACATGCTGATGTCAGTTAACTTTCTCAGAAACAGCTGATTGTACAAAAAAAGTAATGAAGAGTCTGTAATCAGTGGTATAACACCGTGTAGTTTGCTGAAAGTCAGCTGATGTTTCAGAGGAACAAGTTCCATCTGTCTTCAGAATTTGAGTGAGCTAAGCAAGAAACCAACATGAAGCAGGCATTAAGCAGAGCTCTGCTTGGCTTACTCTTCAACCCTGAAGGAGGAGGTGATATGTTTCTCTAAAATGTCTGGTGACTTTCTACCAAGCTACACAGCGTTACATCCCAGAAGATAGAACTCTTCATGTGAGAACCTCAGATTCAGAATTGTGTAGTTCTTACTATGATCCACAACGTCTGTTTGAAAGTTCTTGTTTTAGTTGTTGGAAGGTATGATGACTGAAGTTCTGTCTAAATGGCTTCTCATGTTATTGTGGTTCAAAATATATAAAAGGGAGTTCATGTTGTGGTCTTCTGGACTGTGATACCGTTTTTCCAAAATGGCTGGTTTGCAGAGGTTTGATTCTTCTCAGACCACGAATAGTGCTTATCCCTCCAGCTGTGTGCAGTCTCTTGAGGAAAACCAGTGGTTAGTACGGGTTACAGTGGGCTAGCTGCGAGATGACCATTCTTTCGGCATCTAGGCACTGATTGTGCTGTATTGCCTTCACACTTAGCTTTTGTCTTGTGTTGTAATGTGAGTTTATGTGGGTATCAATATGACATTGCAATGTTTGCTCATGCTGCAGGTTACCGTGGCAAGAACTGTGAGGAGAACATTGACGATTGTCCAGGCAACCTGTGCCTGAATGGGGCGACATGTGTGGATGATATCAACAGGTACTCATGTTTGTGTCCACCCACGTACATGGGGGAGCTGTGCGAGCAAGACGTGGATGAGTGTGGACAGCGACCCAGTGTGTGCCAGAATGGCGCCACTTGCACCAACTCCATCGGTGGCTTCTCCTGCATCTGTGTTAATGGCTGGGCTGGCCCTGACTGCAGTGTCAATATTGATGACTGTGCTGGTGCTGCCTGCTTCAATGGCGCTACGTGCATCGACAGGGTGGGCAGCTTCTACTGCAGGTGCACGCCGGGAAAAACAGGTAACAGCTTGTTTTCGTTGTGGGAGCTGTTTCCTGGGCAGTGTCCCTTAGGCAGTGCCGGCACACCACTGCACTTTGTGGTCCGCAGTAGACTGGCTGTCATTTCCTGCTCCAACTGGGCTACACTCACTACAAACACAGTCTGAACTATTAACTAAGTGTGAAAGCCATCCATTCTGCTGGAAAATGATCATATTGATAAATATAATTCATGATGTGTAGTTAATGACAATACAGGTGATGCTAGTTGCTACATACTGTACACTGTTGGTTACCAGTGTGGGTGTAGTGTGTTTTGCGGATTAACAATGCAATTTAGAATGCTATGGGTACTGAGTAATAGTTTCCTATAATGATCTTAAGTGTCGCCTGTTGCAGTATTGTATGTCAAGTGATTCTTCACCCTGATTTGCAGTAGATTCTATATCATGTCACCTTGTTATAGCTTTATATTCATTATTTCTTGAGCTAGTCTGTTGCCACCGAACAAGGCCTGCTTTCTCACTGTTCAGTGACCAGGTAGTAATGATTATGTGATTTTCACAGTTGACTAGTTCTTCAGTGTTTATTGAATCTGAAACTGCCTCACAGTGGTTGTGCTCATTCCACATTAAGTTGACTCTCATTTTAAATCATGTATTTGTCAGAACTGATTAAAATGAGAACTGAATTTGCTGTGTTGCATTGCTGCATGGCAGATCCACCAGTGCAGTTTGTATTGGAGTAAACTCCACTTGGATGGACAGCTGTGTCAAGATGGAATGGATTGCCCACATCAGGGATGTGGACATGACAGTATCCCAATGCTGGAAAACCATTCCATCGTGATGTGGCTGATATCCAGGAAAACTTCAAATCACATGTAGCTATGGAGATGTGCAGTGTTTCAGATTAGAGGTTCTCACACTGGTAACTATGAAGAATGAGCAAGCTTCTTGCTTCTTGCTGACTTGCTGGTTATCTTACTCTTCAGTCGTGAAGATGGAAGCCGTATGTTCCTCCGAAATGTTGGTAACCACGTACCAGACTACATGGTGTCATAACCTGTAACCACAGTGTAAATCACAACAGTGGAACATACTTGTATTGTGTATGTTGCGAATTACAAGCATGGTACCTGTGAAGAGTGTACATGCCAACATCAGCGTATGAAGATGATGAAGTGGAAAAAGTTTATGACACAATTGAAGAAATTCTTCGGGAAGATGGAAGAGGAGACACAAACAGCATCATATTGGGAGACTGGAATAGCATTGTTGGAGATGAACCATATCAGAATATTGTTGGATCACATGGACTAGGAAGACGGAATCACAGGGGTCAAATGCTTATTGACTTTTGTGAACGAAATGGACTGATTGTTACCAACACTTGGTTCAAGAAGCCAAAGAGAAGAATTTACACATGGAAGGCACCTGGGGATTAGAGGAGGCATCACCTGGACTACATCCTTGTGAAACATCGATTCAGAAACAGTGTGAAGGATGTGAAGACGCTTCCTGGGGCAGACATTGACTCTGACCACAACTTGCTGGTTGCCAAGTTCCGAACCAGGTTGAAGAAAATTATAGGATTTCGAAAGCGCAGACCCAGATGGGATTTGGAGAAGTTATATGCTCAAAGACAAAGCGTGCAAGAGACTCTAGAAGAGAAACTCGGTGCAATTGAAGGTGAAAGCGGAAATGCTGAAGCGCAGTGGAACGATATAAAAGAATGCATGTTAGATACTATCAGTGATTTGGTAGGTAAAGTTGAGAAGATAGCAAGAAAACCATGGGTTACACAGGAGATGATGAGTAAAATGGAGGAGCGAAGGAAATGGAAGAATGTCAACAATGAAGAAGGCAGGAGGAAATACAGGAGACTGAGGAATGAATTGAAAAGAGCCACGGACAGGGCCAAAAAGGAATATCTTGAGAAGATATGTAATGAGATTATGGAATTTCAAAGAACAGGCCGTTATGATTTGATGTACATGAAGACAAAAGAACTAGGATGGAAAGAGAATCATGGGATTCAAAATGTTGGCATCGAAGACTCCCAGGGGAATAGAATAGTAGATCAGAGGCAAGTGCTGAAAATTTGGGAAAATTATATTTCAGAACTATATGATCGACCTAATCGGCCAGAAACCTTAGAAGTTGAACCGGAAGAAGAAGTAGATACAGACGAGAAAGGACCATATATTTTACAAAGTGAGGTGGAAAAAGCTATCAAGGAAATGAGGAAGGGAAAGGCTACAGGAGATGATGATGTACCTGGAGATGTGCTCAAGTTACTGGGAGAAGGTGGTTTGAAAACACTGACAAAACTAATGAACACCATATATGAAAGTGGAGAGTGGCCCAAGGACTTTACAGAAGTTACAATGATTGCCTTAAAGAAAAAGACAAAAGCTACAAAATGCAGCGACCATCGCACAATAAGTCTTATTGCACATACAGCAAAGATAATAGCAAAGATACTTAAAAGAAGAATTGAAAGGAAAATAGAGGATGTACTTGGAGAAGATCAGTTTGGATTTAGAAGAGGAAAAGGAACCAGGGATGCAATTGGGATGATGAGAATTATAGCGGAACGAACTTTGGAGATAGATGAAGAACTGTGTGTTTGCTTCATAGACTGGCAGAAGGCATTTGACCGGGTAAACTGGACCAAATTAATGCAGATCCTGAAAGAAACAGGTATCGATTGGCATGAAAGAAGATTGATTAGCAAATTGTACATGGATCAGAAAGTTAGAGTACGACTGGACAGGGGGGAGACAGGAAGTGTGCAGATTGGAAGAGGAGTTCGACAAGGATGCTGTTTATCACCAATTCTGTTCAACTTGTACAGCGAATGCCTTACCAAGGAAGCTCTGGATGGGCTCGGTGACTTCAAAGTAGGAGGGCAAATTATTCAAACTGTGAAATATGCAGATGACCTTGTGTTAATGGCTAAGGAAGAAACTGTGCTACAGGGCATGATTGATAGACTAATTGAAATTGGAAGGTGCTATGGCATGGAAATGAATGTGGAGAAAACAAAAGTAATGAAAATTTCGAGACAACCAACCCCAGTCACAATAAAGATAGACCAAAAACAACTGGAGAATGTGAAATGTTTTAAATATTTGGGTAGCTTGTTAACAGATGATGGAAGGTGTACTTGTGAAATTAAATCCAGGATTGCCATGGCAAAAGCTGCATTTAGCAAGAAGAAGAATCTTTTTACCAGCAAATTGGACTTAAATTTGAGGAAGAAACTAGTGAAATGCTACATTTGGAGCATAGCTCTGTATGGGGCTGAAACATGGACACTTAGGGCAGTAGATCAGAAACATCTGGAAAGTTTCGAAATGTGGTGTTGGAGAAGGATGGAGAAGATCAGTTGGACCGATTATGTGAGAAATGAAGAAGTGTTAATTAGAGTCAGTGAGCAGAGGAATATCCTACACGAAATAAGAAAACGGAAGGCTAATTGGATTGGTCATGTTTTACGCAGAAACTGCCTTCTAAAAGAAGTTATCGAAGGAAAGATAGATGGGCAGATAGAAGTGACAAGAAGACGAGGAAGAAGACGTAAGAAGATGCTGGATGACCTTGGGGACAGAAGAGGATACTGTCATTTGAAGGAGAAAGCTCTAGATCGCATTAAGTGGAGGAATTGTTTTGGAAGAGACTGTGGACCTGTCGTCTTGACAGATTACTGATGATGATGATGATGATGATGACCTGTGAAGATCCTTCACACTGTGTTAGGTTTTTAGGTAATAGAAGTTTATAACTGGTTAATTTTGCACTAAATGGTTGACATGGTTTCGCAGTGAAGTGGCATTCAGCCTGTATGGCGCCATCCATCATATTGTCGGTCACTTGACCCCAGTTGACATCACTTGCGTGTTTGTAACATCATTCGGCTCGAGAACCATGTGCAGGGGCAAACAGTTGGGACCGAGATAAGGACAAGAGAAGTGCTTGAGACAGTGGTGTTCTCCTTTACAACATATGCTGAAGAAATGCCATGTCTTTATCTAAATGTTAGTAGAAGTAAGCACAATGACATACTATAAATTTTAATGGAAATTGGGGTGAATATATGAGCTGCAGTCTTCTGTTATGTGATGCTGTGTGGTTTGGTAGGTTGGAGGCACTGTTTTTGAGGAACTTCTTCCTCTTTCTTCAGGGTACAGAAGTGTTGTGTTCTGAAAATGGAAGCTGCACATTGCTCTAAAACATTCGTAACCATCACCCACATTATTTTCCGGAAGGCCACAATGATAAACTGTTCACTTGAACCCAAACCTGAACCAGGCAAATCCAGTCCACACCCTGTGGTGTTGGANCTTCTTTCTGTATGAGGTTCTATTGAAAAGTTCCCGGACTAGCCCCCCAAAATAAGAAATGGTGGCTTAACTTACTCGATATTGACTGCCATCTCCTTCAAAATAGTTTCCTTGGGAATGTATACAGCGATCTAATT